GTGTTGACTGTGACTCTGACTCCTTCTGTGCCCGCTTTTACCCTGCTCGCCTGGATTTGTCGCGCAACAAGCCTTGGACGTTTCACATGACAAGGTTGCAGCCTTCAGGTCTCATCCTTGCAACAGTCTCTGGCAAGGGCAAGTGCAACCAAGGCATTAGAAGTCTGACAGGTGACAAGTTGCTTCTCAGGTCTTGAGTTGAAGCGTTTGCGACAGGTAACCCAGCGAAAAGGCAGGGGAAGCGAAACCTGCCATTTCTAGAGCTTGGTCGGGTTTCCACTGCAATGCAAAACATGTTTGAAACATCCACGGACATGAACTCTGAAATGTTACCATTCTTCAAGCGGGCAAGTTTGCTTCTTTGTCTTGAGGTGGTCAAGTGGACAGCGAGGGGAAACTTGTCAACAGGAGAATTTGAGGTTGAGTAAATCTGTGGGACCTGATATTGATTATACGTACTGACACCTTTGATTCATCCAGGTGTGATTGCAGTAGGTGGAAACTTTGCGGAAGGGAAGAGGTAAAGCGCCTTGGAGGTGAACATGCCAAAAATAGCCGCTAATGGCCATTAAGCGCCGGCTGAAACGTTGGAACAACTCCTGGACTTGGAGGTTGCTCCCCACTGAACATGCGGTTGTAATCGGTGTTCTCGGTGATGCAGCGGTCTGCAATGGTACCAATAGAGACTTGATCCCGCTAGGAAGAGGTTCAATGGTCCGTCCTTGATGAGAGTATTCGCAAGACTCTGCCTCTCTATCTGCGACTGCTGCGTGGAAAGATCCCGCAATAACGTGGTCCCAAAAAAGATTGAGAGATCTACAAGGTGAGGTTGCTGAAAAGGAAGCTGGCAGGAGCCATGCAAGATTGCTTGAGAGCACCATGGCTATCCAGAAGAAGTTGATGTACTGCGGCATGTGGGCCTTGCCAGTTGTGCTGTGTTTTCTGATGACCAGTGGAGTCTGCGCTTGTTGCAAAAAGGGCAGTTCGTCTTGTAGCAGTCTGAGTGATGTGCCCAAGCAAGCAAGTGGGAGGAAATCAAACTTGTGAAGTTGGGTGGTGCTGAGTTCTTCGAGCAGTCCTGCAGTGGTAGTTGCACCCAAGAGCTGAGAGGCAGATGCAACACACTTCTGAGGGTGTCTGATTTATTCCAATCCTGCCAGGTGCAAGTGTTCCATCCTGAGGTCCGGGAATTGTCTTTTTGCCAGCTCTGGACCTGTGTCTCTGCCTTTGCCGTCCCTTGTGTTGAGTGTTTCTGCTCTGTATTGGTCGCTGCGGTTGTAGGAGCGCTGGGAATCCCTGCTGCCGACGGGCGAGGACTTGATGAGCAAATGTGCCTCAAGGAGAGTGGCACGGGGTGGCGGGATTACTGCACTGGATGGGGTCCTGGATGTCAAAAGAATGATCATAGCTGCGCGTGGCTCTTGGGGCACTTCGACAAACATGTATCTCCTCCGTGCCTGCTGTCCAGCACATAGGCCACTTGCTGGTCTCAATCCTTTGGGCCAAGTCTCAACGTGGATTGGTTTGTCTGCCATGCTCATTGATCTGCTGGAGAAGCCTGTGAAAGAACGTCCATCAAGGCATATGCTGTCCCTGGCAGATACGATGCGGATCTTGGGTTTGTCGTAGGAGTCGGGGTAAGCCTTGAAGATTTCTTGACAATAGAACTCAGCGGAAAGCCCGAGTCTGGGAATGGAGGCATCCCTCAAAAACATGATGTTGTGTGTGCCACAGTCGCTTCCTTGAAAACAGAGACCTGCTGCAAAATATAGAATACATTGATGTCCAGCGTTGTCTTGCACTCTGCGGTGCGCTCTGAGCGTTTCAGAGACTTGTCTGCTGTCAGTCACATGTTGAGCCGTAGGAAAGAAAATTTCTGCTGTGTAGATTGCAAAAAGCTTGAGGAGGTTCTCCATGGAAGGCAAAAGATGTACAATGGTAGGCGGGCGTCGCATATATAAACTGCTGTAATGTCAACACCAGTAGTGGTAGTTGAATCAAAAAGGGCAGTTCTTCAAAAAAAGGTCGATGTCTGCGAAGCTTCCAGTAGTGGCATCATACTTGGTGGTTCTGGAGGAGGATCCATATCTGGGTGAAGCTGTCTCTCGTTTTTTGAGTCCTTGTGCTGTCGAAGGGCAGGGTCAAGTTCCATCCATTCAACATCCATGTCAGTGAGAGTGTCCATGAGACACAGTTCCCACTTCAGTCGTTGGTCAACTGCGACGGGCTCCTCCTGGGACCATGCAAAGTGAATGGAGAAACGGGGGGCCTGGCTTGTGCCAAATGCCTCCCCTCCCCGTAAGCTTGTCGAGCCAAAACACTAAAAGCCCTTGTCTCATCAGGAGCTTAATCAATCAATCAGGCAAACACACTTTGCAGCAACCAGCCTGGCAAAGGACAAGCCCTTAAGCCCCTGTGCAAACAGATTGGGCATAGGCACGGTCTTCTTTTTTACCATGGCAAGTTGTGTGCGTCCCCGTGTCTTTGTGGGCAGCTTGGCGTTGGACATGTTGATGGAACACGGAAGGTCATGCCCACGGATTGGAAAAGCAAAGGTCTGCGTCTGAAAGTCTGTGAAAACAGAAACTCACTGATCTCGGGCACCGAGCATTAGAGGTCCCTAATTTTGAGACGCACCCAAATGGGTTCCATTGGCGAGTTGCCAAACTAAACCCTCTGGATTCCCGGCGATGTCGTGACCAAACAGCTACTGTGGGGTATGGCTCGTCAAATAGTTCCGGGAACCCAGCAATTGACGATTTTTCGGCTAGAACAACGGGATCAACTCTGGAAACACAGACACGCGAGATATCCAAAACGGCCAGGGTTTCCTTTCGCTTGTCCATTGAATTTCATTAACTGTCAACTGATAGGGGGTCCGATTGACCCAACTTGCCTTGATTTCGGTGTTCCTTTTGGCTTCCCTAAACCAACCCACTCACCACGCGAGCCGTCGATTCGATGTCCTTCGATGATCCTTCGATCGACGCGCCTCGGCGCTCTTCCGGCGTTGCAGAAGGCTGGGACCAGAGGCCTCGAAGATCTCGGGGCACTCCTGCGCGAAGCTGCGAGCGAAGCTGCGCAGCGGGCAAAAGCCAAGACTGGCCTGACCCCACTGACAAAAAAACCAAAAGACCTGAACAAAAGGGGGCACTTCCTCTTAGTGGAGGCTTGGGAAAGGAGATTCACAGGTTGTTTTTTTCTCCAGTTTCGTCCATCCGCACTACTTTTCTCTGATTCCCACTGCCAATGGAGTGGATCGGACAACAAGAGGTAACTGAATTTACCCGATTCGTTGGGTTGCTATTCCTCCCCAAAAAGTGTGTTCTTTCTAGAAACTCAGAACCGACAGAAGGCTGACTCGCTCCAAAGGAGGCTGTGCTTTTGGATTTGAGGGTGCGCAAGGTATTTCTGGGCGAACCTTCAGAATTGCAACAGGCTCAACACATGGATGTGGGTGTGGCATGCTCAAACCACGCACCGCTGGGTCCAACCATCACCAAGAAAGCAGGTTTTAAGCCTGGTGCGCCGTCGTCGTCCACTGAAAGAAATGAGCAAGTCCAATATCCACTCCTCCGCAGCTGCCAGTACCAGCAGCAGCAACAACATTGAAGCAAAGCTTCGGCGGTAAGACCGGTAAGGTGATGCATAGATCTTATCTATTTTGAGCCGAAAGCCGGCGGTTCACATATTGTGACAGTTGGGCTAAAACGTGGTCATGAAGAGGATGGCAACAAAATGACACGACAAATTAGAACTGCGCTCGTTTTATGTTGAACTAGACATATTTGCTGAGTCCACAGTCAAACGTGCTGCGCCTGCGTACTGTTGCAATTGTCTGCATGTGGACATGTTTCAATCAATATAGGAAATGCTGCTGATACTGATGTCGGCATTGCAGTTTGCGCTCGTCATGCGAGGGCTTGAGTTGCTCAGGTTGTGTTCAGCTCTGATGAACTCTGGGATGGGCTACCCCTTGCTCAAACATGCTTAGAACACCATTGTTTAGACCTCTTGTCGGTAGACTAGACAGACGCATGGCTGACTAACTCAGTTGACCAAAGGACCCGGAAACAAACTAGTCGCAGCTGTTGATTCATATCCTCCCCCAATGTGTGAGAACTTTTTTTCGGGGTCCCGAAGAATTGCCAGTGACGATCAATGGACCCAAGCCCAAATTGGCCAAGCAGAGGATCTCGCATGCTGCATGCCATACGGAGCTGCCCTGCACGCGTTTGATTGTAAAGCCAGCGAGCTGCGCGTGGCTCGTCTGAAGGCACGAGAGAAGACTCAACTTGTGTGATGAAGGTTAGTTTATATATATATACGCATACACAATAATCTATTTATATGTAACATACTTGAGTTTGAACATATTGACAACCAATCAATGTTTCTTTTTATGATACAAATTCATGAACATCGTGTTTCGCCTTCGAAACCTCAAATGCCATGCCAACATCATAAACGCATATTCCAACAAAAGTCATAAAAACCAACGCATGATATTCAATTCAAAAATACATGTAGAAATGATATGGCCCAAATCCTAAAATACACTAGTTCAGCTTCTACATGTACAAAAAAAGTTGATTTGTTATGGTTATATAATGACTTATTATGTATTGTTTATATGAAATATTAAAATACGCTATATTCTTATATTCATAAATACAACTGCCTGGACACGGGGTGGAAATCACTCAACAGTCTTGTAAATACCGACAAATTATCTTGGGGATTGGGGGGGGGGTACCATATATATATATATAAACATATGCTTATGTGTATATATATATATATATGTATCTATGAATTCAATGTTATCATTGAATTTCTAACCAATTCATGTTCTTGCTCATCAATCGTCCTGCAGAGTCTGCCGTTCAGTCATGGATCCGACGCCGACAGTGTGAGCGGTTTGTGTGGGTTCGTCGGCCCTTGTGCATCAAGCCTCTCCTTTGCAAAGATGCTACTGCGATCCCTCCGGAGATCTGTCTTCTACAAGTTGTTAGGCACCAAGTGTGTAGCGCCATCCTCCCCCGCTCAAAACTCCCAGGGGAACAAACCAGTGTGAAGGGAGAGGCACCAAGTGTGCAGCATAACAAGAAAACACAGCTCAGCATTCTCAGGGGAACAATCCAGTGTAAAGGGGGCCTGTTCAAATGAGTTTCGTCTGCATTTGGTTGGGAAAAATATCCAGTAGTGATGATTTCTGTTTAAGACCAACAAGGGGAAATAAGCAGGGATCCTTACATTATACACCTGAACATTGCCTTGTAACTGGTGTCCGTAAAAGCATGATGGAAAAAGCAACATGGTTGAAATGGCTGCGAAATGGAGATCTTTCAAGGAGCTCTGATAGATACATATTCTTTCAGCAAATGGAGGACAACCTGTGGCGTTGGCGTTTCCGCGTCGCTCCTCGTCCTCAAAGTCATCCTCAGACTCCACATCCTGAAGGCTAGAGCCGGAGAGCCGGAAAGAGACACGCGGAAAGACACTTTCCAGTTATTTATGTATGTATTTATTTTATTTATTTATTATTGAAAGAAAGGTGTCCGGTTTATGCTCATCACATGCATGGGAGGACGCCTGAGTGGATGCGGCTACGGGGTGTCATCCAGCGCCTCTGATCTCTGCTGCCCCGCCGCGCTCAAGGAGACTGCCTGGAAGCAAGATGCTCAGTCGTTCACTGAGGCAGACCCACACTTCTAGGGGTTTCGATCGGGGTTGGTTCGGTAGGGGGTTCTCAAATCTGAAAGGTTCAAAGTTGCGCAGAAGTCTAGGGGGTTGGTTTAACTTTTCCATTCTTTTCAACCATCGTTCTTTTCAATAACCGATCGCTGTTTCCCCAGGGTTTTGGGTGGTTTCTTCGAAAAAAGGATGCCTGGAAAGAATGGGGAAGCTACATTAGAACACTTGGTATCATGTTGTTCAAGGGCAAAGTTGGTGGCACTGGCACGGCCAAGCGTGACATTATAAACACATACCAATGCCCCAACCCAACATTAGCATAATTGAAGTGTCATCTGAACTGGAGTGTCGTACATGTACCCGAGTTCCACACATGCTCACATATGCTGATGAATGTTACCCATTGATGAATTTGTCTTGGTCTGGTGCAGAGCTATTGCAGGAATGCGAGCATAGCTACTGGCCATGCGCCAACTTTGGAAACATAACACCCCAAGCACAATGACACTGGACGAAATCCATTTCGCAGCACTCCAAGAACTCTGGTTTCTGATGATTCCCAGAAAATGCCAACAAACCTTATGGTCTCAACCATGGCATCTCATTTCGTTGTGCAGTCTCGGACTTCCTCCATGCGATGAATTTAGTGATCAGTCCCCCTTTGGGCACCTCAAGGGTCACTCCAAAGATCCCAACAGAAAAAACATCTTGGACCAGGCGATGCTTGACATTTTGACTCGGCTATCTTTGCGAGATTGGGAAAAAGTTGCAAGTTCAGACTGGAGGACATTCTACTTTGCGACCGCCGACAAGATACTCAGAACCCACGCGCACACTCTCTGAATCATCTAAACCGGCATGTCCATCCCCTGTGAATCTGCGAGGTGGGGTTGGAACAGCCATTCTGCAGTCTCAAAACAATGTTTGGATGGAAACTCTGCACGATGAGGTTGTTTGGAGAAACACACATCTAGAGTGAGTTCGACGGGCCGCGTTTCGGATTTACCAACTGGTCAGCACAAACGGCAGTCACTTAAGCCAGGGATCTATGTCATCAGGGTCAGCCTGAAATACCAGTGTTCCAAATGGATTTCGACACCCATACTGTAGGGAAAATATAGTTGCACCAAGCCATGCGCAGCAACCCGATGTGTATCCATTTTGTGCCAGCATCTGCGTACGATGGCCCACTCAACTCTGCCAAAGTCTTCTAGGATATGCTGGACATGTAATCTGCCAAGCTCTACAAACTCAACCCCTCAATATGGCCCGCAAACAAAGCTATGAGACGTGTAGCTCTACAAAATGTATGGAGAACCATTGGATACACCAACATGGGCTCAGAAAATGGGTACCCCAACCCAAACCTTTTCGGCTGCATTTCCTCTATCCAGGTCAAGGCCGCCGGTGGGATAGTTCAGCTTCCCTCCAATTGGTGATTTGGATTGGTGGCTTGGTGGTTAAGAAGGGGTTTCCCATTTACCATCTACAAGAACCGGGGTTTTAAATCCCAAACCACCAATCCAAATCACCAATTTAATGGTTTCCTGATTGTTTCACAACATTCATCGATTTTGTCTGTGCCACAGGAATCGCGTTGAATGTCCCAGAGGATCCCAATTGTTTTGCACTTATGGTAGGTAGCGCTTCGCTATTTTCCTCTGTATGCATTTCAAGGGCGGAAAGGCTTCGGTTACCTGCAAAAAACCATCCCAGTTCCACTTCTAGTATGTAACCCTTCGCTACTTTCCTATTGGTTCTTGGGTGGTTTCTTTGGTTACCGGACGAACAAGCGGGGATATG